TTAACCATTTTTGAACTTTTTTGAAGCCAGTCTTTACAGCGATTAGATGGATATGCATGTTTGCAAAAATTTTTTCTGAGATTTTCTGTAAATTTTATTCTTCAAGATCCGTCTTTAATTTGAAGAAAAAAAAGTTTTTGCTCTTTTGAAGTTGAATGAAAGTATTTTTCTAGTACCTCGCACTGTAAAACAGTAAATTTTTAGAGAAAAGTGTTTTGATAAGTTCTGCTACAACAGTCATCTTGCTTTCTTCAAATCAGCTTTTTCGGTGACAAGCACTGAACCTGATTTGACAATTCTTGTCTTTCTGAGTGGGCAGTAAACAGTGTGTCTTGAAATGTAGCTTATTCAACTTTTTTTAGCCATCGAGACAGCTCAGTCTCTTATCTGTGGAACGAGCGAGGTGAGTGGGAAAAACATTATAACCACAATCAAACTGCACTTCATCCAGTAAAGCTTTCATCTTGTAAAAACGCGACTGAACGCTTTAAATTCTGTAAATACGTGATTGGAACTTTCAAAAAATATTTACTATCTTGAAAAATTTTGTATAGTGTATTGTTCTATATTGTATAGTTATGAAAACCATGAACTGTGCTGGGGCCAGGCTAGTAAGAAGCATTATAGTGCATTAATGGAAAGTTCCTTGTTTTTTCTTGTTTGTTATCTTTTCATTGGTAACGTATAGTTAGCTGAAAGGTAGTATTTAAATCTATGTTAATGGTTTATGTCTGAATATTCCTTTTTACAATCATGCTAAAGGCCAAATATTTGTTTTTTTTCTCTTTTATTCTTTTTCTTTTATTGTTCTAAAAATCAGCTACTGTTGAAAACTTGTTTTTAAAAATTTATGCATAAACTACGGTTTTCTTTTTTTTTTCTTATTCATATGTAGAAAAGTAGGCGAAACAAACATTGGGAGCATTTACTTTTCAAAATTGCTGGTATAGTGGTTGAGTTGTTGAGACAAATTAAGTACAGGTTACCAAATTCCTTGTACAATTAAGTGCAGGTTTTTTAATGTACCACATTGATCAATTTTCTTAACTCATTTGCTTGAAATCTCAGTTATTCAAGAAGGATTTTTTTGAACGCTTGTAGTTTAATCTGCTTCGCTTTTTTAAAGCTTTGATACAATTATCTATGAAAGATTAATTCGTATTTTGTGCTGTAATGGAGCAAAAAAGCTGTGTATTTGTAGGGATCAAAATTTATTTCTTTTATAGAAGAGCGACTAGTTACCAGTTTTGATGTACCCTGGTTTGTTGACAGTGCTTCTTTAATACCTTTTAAAAAAAGGTATTTATATATTCTTTTTTATTCTTTTAGTTTGACATTGAAGTTCCTTTCCTCGTTGAAAATAAGACTGTGTTATATATGCTAATAACCTAGTTATTATTGTATACCACGTACTTATAATGGCAGGATTGTCTTGCTTGCACATGGATTTTGACACGTTAGTCAAATCGGCTAACACGGCGTAGCATCGTTTCTCCTTCTAAAACTTCAGAAACCAATAAACTGTCTGCTAAATTTTATCTATTTTTTTGCATCACTCCTTTAACAAGAAACAAGAAGTGAGATCAGAATTTTTCTTACTTTCAACTCTCTCAGTAGCGAAAAGATTGTTTGTTTTCTGCTCACTCCTGGAGTAACAATATATCTTCTGTTGCCTCGGCAAACGGGGCTCACATTACTTAACATTGTCACTAGGGTTCAATGGCATCACAATCTCAGGTCAGAGCGATCAAAACAAATGGACG